AAAAAAAAAAAAAAAAAAAAAAAATCTTCGGTCACAGATAATAAATATGGATGAAACGCCATTAGCTTTCGACTCTCCTGCAAACAGAACTGTTGGTGAAACTGGTGCAAAAACTGTATCTGTGTTTATGACGGGGCATGAAAGAACGTCATTTACATGTGTGTTAGCTTGAGCCGCAAACGGTGACAAGCTAACGCCGATGATCATTTTTAAACGAAAGACTGTTCCGAAGGGGGATTTTCCTAATGACGTAATTATTTGTGCAAACGAGAATGGCTAGATGTGCGAAACAATTATGCATGAGTGGCTACAAAAAGTGGCAGTGTCGTATGGGATCTTTTTTCCAACCAAAGGGTTATTGATAATGGATTCTATGCGTGCTCATTTCTTTGAGTCAGTGAAAACCAGATGTCAAAAATTGTCTACGATCGAAGCAATAATTCCTGGTGGTTTGACAAAATCTTACAACCGTTAGATTTGTCAGGTAATAAATCCTTCAAAGCTGAAGTCCGAAAGCGGTGGGAGTGTTGGATGAGTGAAGGATTGCATACGTAAACCAAAAGCGGTAAAATGCGTAGAGCATCTTATGAAGAAATTGCAAAGTGGCAGGAAGTGCATGGAAATCGGTAGAAACATCGTCAATAAATAGCAGGATTCAAAGAAGCTGAAATTATATCCTTAGATAAAGAGACTGTAAACCAAGAGGATGAATGCGACGATCTGGAAGACTTAGATCAGGATTTACTAAATCTTTTTAATTCAGATAGTGAAGAATCAGATTTTGATGGCTTCATATGATGTATAGTTTGCTGTAATTCGTAAGGAAAATTTAAAATTTCCTTTTGTCATCCAAATTTAATATTTCGTTGTTGCAACCATTTTTTTTATAATATAGTCTGAGTATTACAAATATGGACTTCTTTAGTGGGTAAATATAAATATATACGTGAAGGAAAATATATTTTCCACATTTCTTACCTTTAATTTATTTTTGAGTTATGGTTTCATTTTATGCATTTTTCTTAACTGGTATGTCATAATGTCAGGACTTAGGTTGAGTTTTTGCATCTATACGGCCCACGACGATGTCAAGCGCAATTTAATCTATTGCGGCGTTTCTGTGTAATTTAAATTTTTTTCCCGCCATTTTTCTCAAGTACGGTATTTACGCTGATGCGGACTTTCTTCCGGAAATTACGGTACAAAAGGGATGAAACACACAGAAGTGCTCGCTTTTCTCATTTTTAAATTACACTAAACTGTATTAAAAACAGACCAGTGGACTGCACATGGCATTACACTTTTTTCCTAAGATGTTCAGTCAGACAAAGCAGCTTCTGCTATAATTAGGAGAACGGACATTGCTGTGGGGATGTTAAAGAGTACCTCTATGTAATTTATGCTTAAATTCAAGACACTCTACATATTGAATCAGTAGTTGATAGAAATATTCTGCATGAAAAATTAGGTGTGAAGCTTTGCAGTCATTGAATTTCTCATTATTTAGTTTAATTTAAGCAGGTTCAAGCAAACTTCTGCCTCCTTCTGGTTGAAAAATGATGCAAGATGTTCAAAATGATTTTTAACGTCATACCATTTTTCCTGGTAAAGGTCCTTCCATTAACGTCAACAGAGAGTGAAATGTTAGGAAGAATATGGCATACGCTTTCTTCTCTATACACAGCCATATTAAAATTATGATGTTAAAAGACCAAAGAGCAGTGACTGTCAAGTATATACCACAAAAAGCTTACTTTATATATTAGAAAAAATAAGACTTAGATGACGAGAAATTACACGTAAAGAATCTCCCAGAATGAATAGACATTTTAAGGGATTCAGGTTTTGGCTTCCCATTACATTTAACTCTACATTGATTCTCATTCTGCTGATAAAATATTTATGGAGAAAAATCAATATCATCTGAAAGTGCTGTTTTTGCTGAAAGTTTGTGAACTATATCCCAAAGGAAGAATGGCAAAAAGATTCAACAAGTGATTTAGAAATTTGAGAAACCACATAAGGGAAAGTATTTTAAGAAAACACAAGAGAAATTACTTTGATATAGCTACTAGTCCCAAAATGTAAAAAAACTGGGAGTTTCCGAAAGATTTAGGGGGAAAAAAACAACAACTTTAAAATGACATTCTTTTATGTTATAGTGCAGTAATGACAAACCTATGACATGCCAATCTATTTAGGTAAAATGCATTATGCATTTCCAGATATGTAGATGGACACAAAAAAATATTTATCTCTTGCAATGGTCCTGTCATTGTCAACTTATGCTGTGTTTACCCTTGGTGCGTTGAAGTGCATTCTTGGCAGACAGATGATTCTGTGACATGGCACCAAAATTTAACCAGAACTAGGATTTTTCCAAATTTTGACTATTATGATTTTGACATAGATCACACGTTAAAATTAATTACAGTCAAAAGTCGTTAATCCGGACTCGCCGGGACTTCGGCGATTCCGGATTATCGATTTTTCCGGATTATAGATCATCAGTTTAAATCTCGTAAGATAGCATGCAGAAATTCTAAAATTAAAAATATGAAACCGCAATTTATGAAATAAAGAACAATTATGTCTAAAGGGTATCAAAATTTGCAAAAAGAAAAAGCTTAATATTTATTTGTTTACTTAAATAAACATTTCTTTCAATGTAAGTTGTTTTTAAGTTTTGCTTCGTTTCATGTGATAATACTTTCTCTTTAATTCTATTAAACAGACATAATTTCTTGTTCAGTTACAAAGTTCAGTTTCCGCTGTTCAAGTCCTATAATTGCTGTGTCAAGAACACCGACTAATTTGTCAATCGAAAATTTTTCGTTTTCAATAACCTCTGTTACTTTTCTTCGCTATCGGAAGCGAATTATAATGACGAGGAAACTGTTTTAAATCATATCAAAGACGGACAAGCCTATCGAGAGATGAAAATACTACATTTGGTAAGGAATATTAAAAGCCAAATAAAATAAAAAACATCTGATCTTCAATTATAAGCCAAATAAAAATAAAAAACATCTGCCCTGAAGATAAGGATAGTGCTGACAGATAACTTCCAGTTCATTATGCGCCCGCGCGCGGCGTTCCCCCCGCCGAGCAGCGTGAAAAATTGATAAACAGACTTCGGATTTCAAAACATACTTTCGCTTTAGATCCTTTACATTATTAAACAAATATATATCGGAAATTCTATTTGATATAATCGAAAGTTTAAGCTTACTTTTATAAAATTGCTCTTACAGTCTGCAAAAAGTAATAAGCCGGATCCAATTCGAAAATTAAGGAACAACGCAATCATCAACATTAACTGAAATAGATAATTAGGTAATTTTAGCTTATACGTCCATTATACATAAAACGTGCACGCGAAAACGTATTCTGCACTTGCGCACACTCATAAAAGGTCTTACGCGCACACGTAAACGCCTATGCGCATGTGTCAAAGCGGCGCATGCGCAGAAAGTTTTTAGTTTTGAGGTCCTGATTATAGATCATTCCGAATTATGGGTGTCCGAATTAATAACTTTTGACTGTATATATTCTAAATTTTAAATTATTTCACTAATTTAATTTTGCAATTTCCTTATAATTTTATATTGAAAATATCTTGAGTAGGGAAGGAAAGGTTTTATTATCAACACACTTTTAAATATCATAAAAATAAAATTAATAATTACTGTACACACTAGTACATGGGAAAACTAAGTAATGTACCACATATCAAAGTAAACTAAAATTAAATACAGTCAAAAGTCGTTAATCCGGACCTTAAAGCTACAAACTTTATGCGCATGCGTCAATATCAGTTAATGTTGCAGATTTCGTTGTTCTAATCTTCTAATTGGATCCAGTTTTTTATTTTTTGCAGACTGTTAGAGCAATTTTATAAAAGTAAGTTGGAACTTTCGATTATGTCAAATAGAATTTCCGATGCTGGAGCTGCAAAAGGATCTACAAAGGCAAAGCATGTTTCGATGTCCATCAAACAAAAAAGTGGAATTGCTGCAAAAAATGGATAAAGGCTCCTTTGTTTCTCTAACCATTCCGAAATCTGCTTATCAATTTCACGTTGCTCTGCGCGTGCGGGGAGGGGGGGGGACGTCGTGGCGCGCAATGAACTGGAAGTTTATCTGTCAGCACTATCCTTATCTTCAGGGCAGATGTTTTTTATTTTATTCGGTTTATAATTCCTTACTAAATGTAGTATTTCATCTCGATGTACTACATCTTTGATATGATTTAAATCAAATTCCTCGACATTATAAATATCACGAATACACATCAAATAGTTTTCTGGTTGCAATTTTCTAATTTCGACTTTGCATAATGTATGCGCGCGTTGAAAAAAATGTTTAATACAGCAAACAAATAAATATTAAGCTTTTTTTTGTAAATTTTGATACCCTTTAGATCATAATTGCTTTTTATTTCCTAAATTACAGTTTCATATTTTTAATTTTATAATTTCTACATGCCATCTTACCAGATCTAAACTGATGATCTATAATCTGGAAAAATCAATAATCCGGAATCGCCGAAGTCCTGACGAGTCCAGATTAAAGACTTTTGAATGGACAGCACTGTTTATCAATATTATGTGCACATCATACATCAACTGAATTTCCATATTAAAGTTCTATAAATGGTTACATTACATAACAGATCAAAACAAATCTAAATTATGCTGAAAATTACTAGGGATGGAAATTCATCCAATTTCGATTTTACTGCTCCATACGACTGGCAGCAATGCTTTGATATTCATCAAATCCTTACCGCTCATGCTACAGGTAGATTTTTGTAGGTAAGCTATAATATTAATTCTTGAAGAATGGCCATTACATACAATAATTGCATATTGCATACACTGCAACAAATTATTAAAACATTTCTGATTTTATGGAAAATATCTATTTCTACTTTATCAGTTTTCAAAATCAGAAAGAAATAATCAGATCATTTAGTTTTACACATTACTAGAAACTTACTGGGTGATTCAAAAACGAGTGTGACAGTATCAGCATCATCTTGGGCCTTGATGGTAATTATATCATCATTAGAAGCACATTTTAAAATCTTCGCCATGCTGTATAAAAGAAAAAGAAAATTACAACCAAATTTCTTATTCTTAATGAAAATTCTTTACAAAATTGAGTAGGAATATAAATCTACAGAAAATTTTACACCTAACTTCACAGGCATAAAGAACCAAATTTAAAATACAGTGGCTCTCAAAAGTGTACTTTTATGATTTCCATTGAAATAGGGCTCTATCCATTAATTAAAAGTGAACTTTCTGAATGAGATTTTAATAATAAGATCTATAACCTATTCGTAACAAAATTACATAAAATATTTTTAAAATATAGCGGAACTTTATTTTAAAGAAATTAATAATAAAAAAATGACAAACATTTTATCTCACAAAAGTCTTTGTACACTTCAAAAAAAAATCTTGACATATTAGTAAATATTTTCATTTTTCATTAAATTAATATTTAGTAGGATATCCTTTAGCATCCACAACAGCTTTTAAACATCTGGGAATAGATTTTACTAGTTTTTTGTAATTTCTGTATCAATGTTCATCCATTTTGGGCTGATAATTTTAAATTGGCTCTTAAAATATTTAAATAAAGAGATCGATTCATTATGCCATCAATAAATACCAAATTACCTAGTCCTGATGCTGCCATGCACCCCCACACTAGAACACCTGCGCCACCGCCACCATGCTTAACTGTTCCAACAATTAAGTTCTTATAGACATGAAGTTCCTCATTTTTCCTTCTCCATACAGTTATTCGACCATCGGAACCAAAAATGTTAAAAAATTTGCTTTCGTCAGCAAATAGGACATTATTCCAGCACGTTTCGGGTGTATTTATCATTGCGATTTTTGCGAATTTAAAAGCCTAAGCTTTCTGTTTTTAATCAATATAATATTATGAAGTAAACAAAAAAAAAAAAATTTTACGGGCAGGAACGCCCATGTAATCCAGCTTCACTGAGAGCTCGTCGAACAATTTCAAGTGAAATTGAAGTAGTAAACTTTGCATTAAATTCTGCAAAAACTTTTACAGCACTCAAACGTGGGTTTTTCACAAATTTTCTAATAATAAATCTCTCATCACGTTTAGTTAACTTTCTCGGTTGACCTTTTCTTACTTTGTTTTCAATCTGATTTTCTTCTTTAAAGCGTTTTATCATATACTGCACTGTAGAATGGAATAAATTAACTATTTTAGTGATATTTCGAATTGATTTACTACTATGGTGAAAAATTATCAATTTTTGAATCTGTTTGTAATTTCTTTACGACTGCGAGACATTTTTCAATAATAAATACAATATTATGAAGTAAACAATAAGAAATTAAAGCAAACAATTTTTTAAATGGCCCACCACAATGCAAAAATTAAAAAAAGCGGCAAACGATAATTCTAATTTTGATTTTATTCAAAAATATTTCAGTGTATGAAGTCTTTTGTGAGATAAAATGTTTGTCATTTTTTTATTATTAATTTCTTAAAAATAAAATTTCGCTACATTTAAAAAATATTTTATGTAATTTTGTTACAAATAGATTATAGATCTTATTATTAAAATCTCATTCAGAAAGTTTACTTTTAATTAATTGATAGAGCCCTATTTCGATGAAAATCATAAGCGTACAAACACTTTTGGAAGCCACTGTAGAAAGAAAAACTTCTGGATAGATCTTTTAAAGAATTATAATTTTTTCCTATTAGCTAATGATATCAAAAATTATTTTATAAATTTTCTCTTCTTATGCAAATGGTAAAACAAATACTGTGTAATGACAAGATTTTTACAAAATCTTTTTTAAAAAAATAGGAAAAATCATGAAACTATTAATTCTTCCAGCAACTGAGGGTTTGGCTTCAAAAAGCCATGGCTAGACAATATATTTTCTTGATTAGAATTCCAAAATGAAGCTTCCACTTTGTACCTTAAGTTTCCTTTCTTCCAATATATATATTTTAATTGTCTAGACAAATTTCAAGATGCAGCTTTGTATATTTATAAAACAAATATGTTTTAACTATTTTAACTTATACACATTATAGCTTTTGAACATATATCTTTGGCCATTTGGAAGGCTGAAACAATGTGTTTGTTCTAAATTCCAATCCCAACCGGCACACATTTATTTGTTCAAATAAACAAATTAAAGTAATTATTTTAAAAAATGGCATCACACAGTTATTTTGCCCATTTATATATATTTAATATTTATTTAACTGCACAAAGTTTGATAGGTTAACCTCATAAAAAAGTAAAGGTATTTTCAGTAGACATTTTTGCTTCTTTATGAAAATACAGAGTTTAACGATGTAATTACAAAAGTAAACACAAAATTATCAAAAGAGGGAAAAATTAAATCTGAAAGTATCCAGATTTTAATGTTCACCGAAAAGTAATATTGTTTGTTAGCAGATATTATCAACAGAGATCGCCGAAGTAGAATAGCAAAATATTTTATTAGATGTGTTTAACATTGGAATGTTATTAATCTTCTGTATATATACATAAAGAGTGAAAAAATATATAACGTAATTGTATAAAAATATTTAATATTTTTAATTAGATTTATCATTAATTAAATGGATTTTTATTTAAATCAATCAGATTAAGAAGTAAAAAACAAAAATTATCTTAAGAACTGCATCTATTGCTTTTAAAGAGTTTAGATTATTATCAGTAGCAGACAGATTAAATATGAAAGAATTATATCTTATGCTTTTCCAAATAGCAATAAACTCAAATGAAAAGTGAAACTACAGTAGACCTTGCAAAATCGCATTTCAAGACTAAGTCTATTTGAACTAATAATTTTTAAATTAGACAAAAAAAAAAAAACTTTGGATTTTTAAACTGGAACAAAATTATAAAATGTGAAGTATTTGTAAAAAGAGAAAAACACTATTGCTTAAAAGGACAGCACTGTTACTTAACCTTTTAAACAACAGAACCAGAATAGATTTTGATTTAACAAAATTAAGTCAAAAGTAGTCTTTTTTTATTATTATTAATTAGAAAATCACCTTTATTAATGTTCAGATAAGAGGGAAAGGATTGGAAAAATATTTTTCCCCCTTTTCAGTTACCCCTTCCTTACAATACGGAAATATGCATTCGTATTTTGTAACCAAGGTAATTTTTGAATGTTTGAAACACAGTCAAAAGTCGTTAATCCGGACTCGTCGAGACTTTGGTGATTCCGGATTATAGATCATCAGTTTAAATCTCGTAAGATGGCATGCAGAAATTCTAAAATTAAAAATATGAAACCATAATTTATGAAATAAAGAACAATTATGATCTAAAGAGTATCAAAATTAAAAAAAAAAAAAAGGCTTAATATTTATTTGTTTACTTTATTAAACATTTCTTTCAATGTGAGTTGTTTAAGTTGCTTCGTTGAAATTTTTTCGTTTTCACTAACCTCTCTGTCACCTTCTTCATGTCTTTATCCATTTTTTGCAGCAATTCCACTTTTTGTTTGATGGACATCGAAACATACTTTCGTTTTGTAGATCCTTTGGGAGCTCCAGCATCGGAAATTCTCTATTTGATATAATCGAAAGTTCAAGTTTACTTTTATAAAATTGTTCTTACAGTGTGCAAAAAATAATAAGCCGGATCCAATTCGAAGATTAAGGAACAACGCTATCATCAACATTAACTGAAATAGATTAGATAATTTTAGCTTATACCGTATGTTATACATAAAACGGGCACGTGAAAACGTATTCTGCGCTTGCGCATACGCACAGTCGTAAAGGTCTTACGCGCACGTGTAAACACCTTTGCGCATGTATCAAAGCGGCACATGCACAGGAAGTTTTTAGCTTTGAGGTCCGGATTATAGATCATTACGGATTATGGGTGTCCGAATTGACGACTTTTGACTGTATTAACTTTTTATAAGATCACTTACAATTTAAAAAGGCCTTCATAGCTAACATTTCCTAGATACAAAAAGAGAATCAAAAGATACTCTGATCAGTTTTGTTTTGTTTTACAAGCTGAATATAGTTAATAATTACACATACTGATTGTCAATTATTACTTATATATGAAAATAATTGTTTGCCATGCATTTCTTGCACAAATAAGAAATTTTCATTCATTTTTATGAAACATGACGAAAACTTTACATACATGCATGAACTAAACTTTCCAGCATTACTGCAATATTATTTTTCCCCTCTTTTTTTCATTTAGGTACTTTTTTAATATTCTCATTAGTTTTCTTTTAAGCTTTTTATTGATTACTTTCCCATTTTATTGTATTAAATTTTGCATTATTCTTTGTCTACTCTTATATTTTTGTGGTATTAGCTTTGTCCCCCCTTTTTTTTCATTTGCATATTCTTTTAGCATTCTCATTTAGTTTTTTTTTTTTTTTTTTTAACTTTTAATTGATTTTCAGAATTTGCATATAATATTTTTAGATCAATTTGTTTTTGTTTTTTTTTTCCCCCAGATGTCATTTTACAATATGTAACGTTTTGGTTTTTTTTGTAGTCAATTTGAAACAATGTTATGGTTTTTTTATTTTTATTTTTTTTTTAAGTGTTTCGAAGGCGTGGAGGGGAAATAATGGTACATTTGGAGATTCACTTTTTGTTGGGGAGGTTTTATATGAGTTTTTTTGTAATATATATTTGTTTCTATTTTTGGTTTTTGATCTCAAATTTACCGGGAGAACAAAACACATTTTTGAAGCATATTAACACATTGACTGCCAGTCACTAGAGTTAGATTGATAGTTATTGCTACCCATATGGAAGTAAATTGTATCCAGATGCCAACATATTTATTATAAAAAATAATGGGCTGATCTTTAGAATATGGTAACTGGTAGTTTGGCGACATTTTGGAGGCGATAAAGGTTACTACCTGGGATTTTGGTAATAATGTGAGCATAATAGATTCAGTTCCGATTACGCATTATTTTGTGTGAGGGAAATGAGAGATCATGGGATATGTCATGTGATATTAATGGACGAATTACGGTTTTTTAATCGGAAAATCGAGAAAAAATCTGGAAATTTT